AGATGACACAGTCTCCAGAACAGGACACAGTATTCCAGCTGCAATCACATCTGATATGATGACTGTGTTGGTAAACTGTTCCCTGGAGGCATTTGCTATTTGTTATTACGGTTATGTGATTGGTCACCTTAGTCAAGTGGCATTATTTCTCATCTCTGACTGGCTGGGTATAATTGTGACAGAGGAGGATGGTACTGTATTATCAAATCACTGAGACTTTGATTTTCTCAGCGTACGGAGGAAGCAGTTTGTGGAATTAGGAGCAGAATGAGGGACATTTTAGAGCATTTGAAACTTTTTTCCTTTCCAGGCCATTTGAGTCAGGTTTTCACGGTTAGCAAAATTAGGCAGAAAACAGATTTTACATTAATTTTCTCTCTGTCACATTTACATCCATTAGCTGCATGTGGCAAAAAACGAAAGTCAAACAACCAAACAAAAATTCAGCTCATAAATTACTTAAAATCAGAATTTGCCACACAGAACATACCAGCTTATAAGACTTGACATAAAGGCCCACAATGTGTGAGAGCAAGCACACCTTGGTGCATGCCTGACTTGCATAAGTGCACTGGGCACATGCACTTTTGTATATGCCTAACTCATGCAATGGCTTTTGTGCAGGCACGAACGCTTTGAAAAAACCAACTGAAACTTCAGTCAGTGATTCAAGACCGTCATGCTTTAGCCACTCTTCACTCTGGAATATAAAGATGCCCCCTACTCAGTACTTAGATGTTATGGCGGTGGGTATTCTAGGAAGCCCTACGCTAGATAGATAGGCCAGTATTGTAAATGTTTCCTTACGCCTTATTTGCCATGTTTGTTTTGTATTATCTGCAAAAGCAGAACAGTTTTTGTATATGTAGATAATACAAAATTACTCTCTAGCTAGTTCCTTACAATAAAAGTTATGGAGGTGGGCAAACTTCCGTATTTGCTGGGACAATTCTCTGATTTGTTTGGAAAAGAATTGCTGTGAGAAGAGATAAATAGATAACATAATATAATATTATGGAGTCTGAGTGAACAGCAGGTGAGTGAGCACGATAATGTATATTTATGATGCAGTGTAATTACATTGCACCCTTTGCATGAATCTGATCTTTGCTCAGAAGTCAGTAAACCCTTCCTTAGCCAACGAAAGCTCATGGTCACAGATGTGTGCTCCCAGGCTGGCCTGATCATTGTCAGAAAGGTTGGCGAATGGTCTGTTGAGTGACATTAAAACGGTCACCATTCTGCAATAGTAGGTCTTTTATTCTCCAAATGATATAAAATAAATTTGCATTGTGATGATATACAGAGGATTTGCATATTGATTTCCCATGAATTGCCGCGCCATGTTACCATTTCCTCTGATCTATCTGGGTGTCTGGGAAGGAGGCAG